GGTTGACATAAAATCATCTGACGTTCTTTGCTGCACGGGAAGTCGTCTGACTTTCAAGGTTACATTTTCAAACGCGCCAAACTGATCATTCAAACACAAAGAAAATGTATGCTTATATATATATATATATATATGTGCAAGCATAGAGAGAGAGAGAGAGGAAATTATCTTCGGTGCAGAGACAACAATGATGGGACTATGGGCTGCTCTTTTACGACCATGGATGATGAGATGCGCAGCAGAGATGGTGGAAGTGATAGAATATGGTATCCGTCAACTAGTAACAGAGATCAACAGAGAGTCCATCCTTAGCAACAGAGACTCAGCTGGTGTTTATTTCTAGCGAGTTCATGAGCTTGGTAGAAGATGGAAAAAGACGACGACAGCCACCACCACCACAACCATTGATGCAATATAGTTGATCAAATTTTGATTATATTATTTGAACTTTGTCAATGTCATTCAATTAAAAAATTGAAGAAGATTTTATTATATTTTATAATTTAATTAAAAAAGAATTTTATCTTTATTTTTGTGGTTTAATTAAGATTTATTTATTTATTTATTTTTTTAATTTATTTATGATTTTAGTTTTCTAATTGCTTTAGGTTAATATACTACGAAGAGAGAGAGAGAGAGAGGGGTACTTCTTAAGCTCTAATTTGGCTGCTTTTCCTTCACATAGTTTTGCATGGTATGTGAAAAGAAAGAGAGGGAGAATTTTTTAAGATGGAGTTAAAAATTAGATTTAATAATTATAACTATTGAATAAATAGTGAGTTTTAATAAATATTTGGACTTACAGTTAAATTAATGATTATAATTATTAAGTCTACTTTTTAACTCTATATAACATTGATCTATGTGAATACATAATACATGAAGGGTTACTCCACGTTAGTAATGCTACATAGTGTAATTGCCCAATAATAAATAAATAACTAGACAAAATAGAACCTACTTCTTCAAATAAACACCCCTCCATATAAGATAATAATCGTCACATATTAAAAAAGTTGAGTTACATTATCTATTTGTTTATTTATCATCAAACGATTACATTATATTACAATACTGACGATGCAATTGTTATGCCTAATATTTTACCCGAATACATGAGGGTATGCAGCAAAATACTTCTGAATATTGAATATACTAGGAGTCAAGGTCTAAGATTCTGCAAATATAGCTTATTAGCCTGCAAAACTGTTTCAGCCTTCTTTCATTTTGGTCAAGTCTTGGTTTCTCACACATTCTATTTTGCGGAAGAAGGAACAGTCCAAAAACCCAAAAAATTATTCAAAACACCTGATTTCATCATGGCTCTTTGAGTAGCATTCTTGTTCAAATATTTTAGAGTAATTCGCATATAAATAATTCTCTTGATACAATTTGTTACTTGCCTTTTTCCGTCGTACGAACTGCAATTTTTTAATCATAAGATGAATATAATATAGAAGAGACATTGAAACATCAGTCAATTAATATTTTCTTCATCTTTGGAACTCATAAAAATGGCTTTTCATCTTGGATTTTTCTTCTTTAAACTACAAACCCCTAGTTAAAGAAATACATTTAGTCAATAGTTTGCTTGAAACAACAAAAAAGGAATCATTGAATCAGTCTCTATTGTCTTCATCTCTATGGATAACAAACAAAATGGTATAGATATATGTCTCTCTCCCCTTAATGAAGTAGAACAAGACATGGAAATACATTTACTCAATAATTTGCTTGAAACAACAGAAAAGGAATCATTGAATCAGTCTCTATTGTCATCATCTCTATGCATAACAAACAAAATGGTATAGATATGTGTCTCTCTCCCATTAATGAAGTAGAACAAGACATGATTGCTCCTGTTCAGTTGTAACCCAAACTGTACCAAATGTTTTGAAGGTTCAAACAATTACCCATAATTCAGTATCATTAATTTGTAAAAGTTCTAAACAATTACAAATGATCCGATACTAAAATTGAAATAATTATGTAGAATTAAAGCCGGTTTCAGAAGTGGAATATATTTCCGGTTCTTATCTCTCGTAGTTGGAATTTCATGGATGAAAATTGGAAATATCATCAGGCATAGGTACATTACACCCAGGGGCGGATTTGCAGTGGGGGCAGTTGCCTCCACTGGATTTTGAAAAAATATTGGGGTGTAGTTGAAATTTTTTGAAGTTTTAGAATTTGTTAAAGATTGCCCCCACTGAAAAGTTTTTAAACTTAAGGGTAGCAATGTATATTTTCAAACATGTGGGTTCCTTTAAACGTTAGCAAAAGTGAAAAGTTACTTTATCAGGGCACAGGTCCTGTTTCATATGTTCCGGCCAAAACTCCGTCCGTCTCCTTTGTGATCTTTCTCTGTTCGACATCCATGGATCCTTAGGCTGTCTCTTTGTTCTAGCTCCATACTCTAGAAATTCGTTCTCCTTAGTTTTTTACTCCCTCTTTAGTGGTACCTTTCTATTTTCAACTTCAATTATTATTCAACTTCATTATTATTGCCAAAATTTATTGGAAAAATAGCTTAGAAGGATAAGAACTTAAGAGATTCTTTCAAAGTTGATTTGTCGGGAGATAAACAATGAAAGATTTCTTTGATTTTGATTATTATTATATGTTTTAATATTTGAGCCAGTAATTAGAGTTTTCAAATAATTAGATTTTTATATTTGGAATTTATGTGATATAAATTATTTTTTTGATTAAGTCATTTCGATTGATTAGACTTTAGTAAATTGATTGTAATGAATTAAGTTATTCCTATATCTAAGATTGATTTAGTTATTTTTTTTTTACTCTAGATTGATTTAATTGACTTGTGGTAAGTTCGATTTCTAAATTATTTATGTTAAAAATTGTTCAATTTTTCTAAACTATTTTGATGTATTCTGCATGAATAATGCATACTAAGTTGTGTATGACTAAAGAGATTAATTTTTTAATCAACTATTGATAAAAAAATTTTGTCAGATTCTATAGATGACAACTTCATAATATATATATTTTTTTTGTTGATTTTTTTTGTATTTCTCTCATATATGAAGGTTGTGCTTTTAATTGACGTTTTTTTAATGAAACAATGCTTTGGTGAAAACATGATCAATATTTGGAGTTAAATATTTATATGTTTAAGGCTGCCCCCACTGAAAAAGTTATCTGAATCAACCCCTGATTACACCCGTATCAATCTTCGTTAAAAATATCTTTAGCATCTTGGGCTCGGAATAGATTAAAAGATACCCTCAAGCGAACTAGCTAGTATCTCCTTTTAAACTTGTTAGAGCAACTCCAACAATGCTACTTAAAATAACTATTCAAAATATATTTCAATATTGTATTATCTACTTTAACTAACTCCTATTTTCAAATTCGCTCTAACAACGTTATCTACTTTAACTAATCACTTCAATTAATTTTAACTAACTTTCAATAATAAAATTCAAAAAATAATAATTTAACTATACATTGGACAAATTTAATCAATTATAGGTTACAAGAAAGAACTCACCTCCCAAAAATTATTACTCCCAAATCAAATTCTCTCAAATTAAATCATAAAATTCAAAACAAAATCACCTCAAATAATAGAAGTCAAGGGTTTTTGGGAGTTTTGTTGGATTTTTTGGGGGGATTTTGCTAGATTTTTAGGGAGAGTTTACTGAATTTTGGGGCTATTTTGTTGGATTTTTTGGAGGGTTTTGCTGAATTTTGTGGGGGGGGGGTTTGTTAGATTTTTAGAAGGGTTTTACTGAATTTTTTGAGGAATTTTGCTGAATTTTTTTTGGGAGGACGATGGAGTTTCAAGACTTATCTCAAAAGCACTTCATAATCAACCCAAACCCTCCTTGCCATAGAACCACCAAACCAAACCCAGTTTCAAGAACCTATTGAAGATGGTCCTCGCCACAGAACCCACCTCCGTTGAAGTCAAACAGAGAATACACAAGCAATAGAGAATACACAAATCCAGAAAAATTCCAAACAATCTCACCTCCCCTTTTTTGCCTTTGCGATGAAGCCTCAGTCGGTGGAGCCTTCTGCGATGAAGCTTCAGTCAGTGAGAGAGAGAGAGAGAGAGAGAGAAGAGGAAATTGGCTCTAGTGAGAGAGAAAGGGCTAGCTAGAACCAACGAGTGAAAAGAGGATTATGGAAAATTGATAGTGGAATAGCTAGTTTGTTGGAACTAGATTTTAGGGAAAAACTATTTAAAATAACTAACCAGAGCTGTTTAACGAGCTTATTGGAGTTGCTCTTAATATGTGTGACAGCTTGCCTAAACTGTCTAAAAATTTCATAGATCCATGTAGGTACAAATATGTTGGAAATTCAAACTAATCTATCTTATTAGTTGATTGCAATGTGCTTTGAGCACTTTTGTATGATGAATTCACAAGAGATCCACTATCCATAAATAGCTTTTTAGCTACGAAATTTAGTGACGAGACAACAAATTCATCTCTAAAAATAACCTCTCAGTTATGGATTCCCGTTGAAATTGAGTGTCAACCATCTTTTAGCGAATCAAATTTAAATTTCCTCGCTAAAAATGGTGGAAACAAGTTTTTCAATTTTATTTATTTTATTGACAAGAATTTTTGGTATCGGATTTAATAGAAACATTGATATTTTATTGCATTAACAGAATAATTGAATACAAACAAATGCTTGATTACAACACAACAAAACTAAAATCAAACATTCTTGGAGTTACAACATTGTTATTGATGCATCTACATCATACAGCAACACTGAAAATAATTGATAATTATCAACTTAGGTTATAAGTGTTGTTGTAAACTTTTATTTCTCTATACAAACAAACAACTGAGTTATCTTAAAAAAATTTGACAAATACATTAAAGTTTTATTAGTGAGGTAAATAATATAAAACCTGAAAAGGGTGATATTAAAAAAAATGGATGATATATACCAGAAACAATTTGTTAATTTCTTCATGTGTCCTTTATTATTGGTGCAGCATTAGTAGTGAGTATTTAAGGGCCATTTTCATCCTCAATTTCCATCAAGCTGTCTATGACAATGTCAGCAGCACTTGTTACCACATCCGACCAGTTCCTGCAAACATAAATATGTGAATATTAATGTAAGCTTTTGAAATCTAGAAAACTCAGAATTCATGCAGATTCAACTTGGTTCTCAATGTAATTATGCCTGAGAATGGCCTTTCTTTTAGATATCGATTACAAATCTTTGGTTGAAATTAGTAGACTAAATAAATATTTGCAGCTGATTTCCTTGGGTTGTGAGGGTAGTTGCCTTATCTATATCTATATCATCTCTTACGAAAATTTAAATATTCTGAATCTCTCGTGGGACATGAAAGATGTAGTTATTCAATATTAAAAGTACTCGTAAACTCTTATACTACATAATTTCCTTTTCCTTTGAGTAGCTCATTGTGAGTATACTTGTGAAATTTTTGAACATGTCTTGAATTATATTGACTATTTATGGTTTTTTCAAAATAATATTTTATTTACTCAAAGTAAAAATATATAGGTGTATAGCTGAACATTTCAGTGGAAAGTAATGAATTTCTAGATTGGTTTACATAAACAAACGTTGTTAAGTGAAATGGCATTAAATGTTAAATATGTTTGGAGAAATGTAGATGGATATAAAAATTCTTTAAAATCAACCCTAAAGGGCATACCTAGTGGCCACTGTTATTGCGGGATTTAAGGAGGATTCAATATACAGACTTACCCTGCAAGTAGAAAGACTTTCTGCAACTTACATCCAATACTAGGCAAAACAAGATATAAAATTTATTTAAAAAAGAGAGATATATAGAAACAAAGGTGATATATAAGTAATTACCCTTTTAAGGAGTCCAATGTTAGCCCTACGGTGTACTTAGCCTCTTCAATGGCTGACTCGAACCTCTGAATCTCCATTTGTGTACAAGTTCCATTGTCCACAACACGAAGCTCAGAGGGCTTGACATCGCAAAAAATGGGAATAACCTTCTTCTTAGACTCCATTATCAGAGCAAGTTCATGAAGGCAAAAGTACGACTCACAATAACGGCGTGAGAAGACCGCAACGCCTACCTTGCACCCCTTTATCGCATCGTCAATCTTCTCAAACAGTTTGTCACCGGGCTTCATGTTCTTGTTGTCCAAGAAAGGTCGAAACCCAAGACGAGAAAGATGATCATAGAGCAATGAAGCCACGGTACGCTTCGTGTCGGTTCCTCTATGGTTGATGAAGACATCACAGGCAGGTTGAATCACTTTGTTAGTCATAGGAGAAGGTGTTCGGCTCCGGTGACTGATTATTTGGCGTTTTAGGATGTTCATTGCTGATGAACGCTGCATGCTTATGTTTTAGAAAAGCCCTAGTTCGCTCTAATTCTCTTTTATATAGGTGCTTGGATTTCTCTATGTTATTTTTCTTAGTAATTCTTTTAATGTGTGAATTTAGAATGTTACGAGTTTACTATACATTTTTTTTAAGTACTCAAAGTTGATTTTGAAGAAAAGTGGACTATTTTTTTTTTTGTATTTTATACGTTAACAGATTTTAAGATTTTTATTTTGTACTCTTAAAAATTAAATTTATTATATTATACACTTAATATATCAAAAATATTATAATGTGACTGCTATTAATTTTTGTTATTTTTATTGTCAAAAACCACCTATTGACACTGATAAAAAAGCTAACGAAAAACTAATAGAAGAGACACATTATAATATTTTTGATATATTAAGCGTGTAATACAAGAAATTTAATATTTAATGATATAAAATAATAATTTTAAAATCTTTTAAGGTATAAAATGTAATTCACTCAAAAAATATTGAACGTACGTTAAGTGATAACCGAGTGATTTGACAGAAGAAGTAAACAAAGAGAGATCTTTGAATGGTTCGACGCCTGTGGCTTTTTGGAAACATTTGGAATTTCTGTTGACCCTTCAAACACGTTATTTGACTATTTTCTCACTTGCAAACGTGTACACATACGTAGTAAAACACCCATAAGACCTATCAATGTATTGGCCAATAAATATTCCTCTTTTTCAAAGTTGGTGTTGGAGATTCAACATAATAAACTTTTGTAAACTATAATGACATTTGTATCTGATTTCGAGATTATAACATAAAATAGATAATATTATTTAAATTTAAAATGCTGAGATAATTGATTTAATTATTTTTGTCATTAATTTAACGAAAGTGCTTCTAGCTACATTTGTTTTAAGGTTAACGGAACCTTTATTTACTTAATTGATTGCTGGAGAATTATCAGAATATCTAAATATTATAATAAGACTCACTCGGCCCCAGTTAGGCCTGGACAAATGTTTAATCATTCTTTTAGCTCAGCTTGGGTATGTACAACCTAACTTCATCAAATTCATCTTGGTTTTTAGCATTTTTAGGTTTATGGACTTCATCTTCCCTTTATTCCTTTGTATTCCTAACAAGTCAACATTTCAAATATGAATTTAACTTTAGGTCCCCGAATTTATTAGGTCTATTACTTATTTAATGGTTGTGATAATCAAATCAACAAATCACGTAGACATTTTAAGTCAAAATAACATTGTTTATATAAAAAATATAACAATAATATTATTTGAACTTAATTTGTTGATATGCTTTATTGACCTAATACATCACAATTATTGGTTTAGTAGCGGATCCCGACAAAGTATTGGAATGCACCGTCAATCCAATAATGACAAATGATTAAGTCAGCAAATCAAATCAGTAAAATAAGTACTAAGTAGCATTGCTCAAAATATAACACTTTGTGCTTATTATATTGGTATTACTATACTTACCAAATTTTCTTACCAAATCTCTATTCCAAATGATGTGACACGGTTTTTTTATTATGAAATAAGTGAGTCCAATTAATATTTAATTATAAAAATTATGTCACATTATTTGATATGAAAGCTTAATTCAATACTGATGCACTGATAAACATAATGGTCACAACTTTGAATAATGTTATTTTGATATAAAAATTTGACATAATTTACTGACATAATGATGTAGCTTCATATGAATCATTAGATCAACACCAAGTTTTAATATTTAATGGGACCTGCAATCAATTCAAAAGTCACAATAAATTAGGTCAACAAATTATGTTAATAAATTGTATCCCAATAGCATTGCTCTTCATTAAATCATCACATTAGATTCAAATTAAATTCTAATAACATTTCTCTTTTGTAAAACCTGTAAACAAGGCATGCATCAACTACGTACGGAGAAATTAAATGAAAATTTATGGGACATAAGTGTATACGGTTGGACTTAGAAATAAGATTTCAACTCAACACACTCACTAAGAATCTTCATTTTCAACGGAAAAGTATCACTTATAACAAGAGAAATTGTTGCTAGACTTGTCAATTGGAGAATTTTTCCGCATAGCCTTGGGATGCAATTAAATTTTGAAATGCATTGTAGATTCCACCCCGAGAAAAAGAGGAGAAATTGTAAAATTTTGTGCAATTTACAAGAAAAAACTAGACATACATGATTTAAAGGATATTAAAACGATATATTCTTAAAACCTTTATAAGTACAGTACCAAGTTACAACATTTCCATAGATTGTTTAATTCTACTTTAATCTCAACATTTCGGATTTGAACGCATGGAAACGGACTCTTTGTACAAAAGAATATATATGTAAGACGTTTAATGTTCCCTATGTCCTACAATAACAGAAGTATCATGCACAAAATGATTTGTTTTAATCATGAATCCTGATAATTGAAATAACAATACTATATTGATTAAGATTTTTCTATAAATTTTTTTATTCCAAATGATGTGCTACAATTTTGACCATCAAATAAGTTGGTCCCATTAATATTGAATGATGAAGATTGTGTTGCATCACTCGGAATGGAAAAAATTATAAAAAACTTGGAAAACACAATATTGCTGTAATTGAAAGGTACATCAGTTGACTTCTTTTGGCATTTTCCTCTTACCAGTGTTTGAAAACTTGGGTAAGCGTATACAAAACTTCTCGGATGCAGCTATCATTTTCAGAGATCTGCTCTCTACATGATTTACGGGTTTCAACCCTTCATTTCACTAGATTGACAACTCTTTGTTTTTTAGATTGATGAGAAGCTTCGGTTAGACACATTCAAAAGATTGTGTCTTCATTTATTGGTTCCCTAGACCATATGAGCACAGACGAAACCAAAATATTTTTATTTGTATTTATATCTATATTTTTATACTACTTATAAATGATAGAATTTGTAAAAAAATTTTAATTTCCTATTTTATCCTTAATTATTGTACTAAAGTCAATTATACCCACTTATATATTTTTATCTAATTTTTATTTTTTACTCATATTTGAGTTTTAACTTATTTTAGACTCTTTTAAAAAGACTTCTAAATTCTTTTAAGTTCATTTATTAATAGTACAATTACATACAATTTTTTATATGTATATAAAGAAGTAAAGTTCTATATATGTTAAATTATTATACATGTGTAATTACCAATTTAAATTACACGGTCAAATATATATTATATTTTATCTTTTTGCAGGAAATAATATAATAATATTATAAGCGATCTAATTAGTCTATTTAACAAAAGAAAAGTTAATAATTCTATTTTATCATTAGATAGACAAATGACTAAAAAAATTTGGAGAGATACCTAAATAAATGACAGATTAGTTATTCATAGACTTATAGAATAAATGAATAATTAAGTTTAGTAATAATTAAAACAAGAATTAATTATTCAACACTTAATTTATTCTTTAATTTAATTACACATATAATTGAAGTGTTCTATAAAAAAAATATTATTTAACTTTGTTTACGCGCAACGCACACCAATTATGACTCCACTTATAATTTCTTGAATAAAATAAAAATAATTATCAATATACTAATCACATTGCTGTAATTATGAATTAGTTAGGTCAATTGAGTTAAGGTTGAATATACTACTCTGCACATATATATTATCAAGTAAATTAAAATTCTAAAATATTCAAGTTTTATTTAAAAATACACTACAATATCAATTTTTACATAAAATCTGAGTACAACTAAAAAAGTTTATTGTGACTGAAAAAATGTACTAATATAAGATAAATTGATTTTAAAAAACTATATCTACGATTATTTGGTTAAACTTTTCGATGAAAAATAAAATACATATATTTAGGTATTATATTGTTTTTACATATGAGATGAGTAATATTAGATTGATGGAGTTTTTGAATGTTTTTTGAACACTTTATTCAAAATATAATGGTGAATATTTTTTTAAGGGTAATATGGTCAATCAATAATTTTTTTAGAATTTGATATTTATATATTGAGAATAGATAATTAAAAGAGATGTGATAGAGAGTTTGGAGATTTAAATGCATAAAGATAATATGATAATTTAGATATTTAATTATAAAATGATAGAGTGACCTTTATAATCTTTTATAAGGTTAAAATAAAGATTTTAAATTTTTTTTATCTTAGAGTACTTTTATTAATAGTATAGATAAAAATAGTTGGTATACACGCGCGTTGCACGCAAACTGTTTTATATTATAATATTTTTATTTCTAATGGTTTGTGACTTTGTGGTATGTATTTGTTAAGATTGGAGTAACATGAAAAAAAGACTTTTGATGTGATTTTTGTGCTATTTGTTGTTTAAGAAAATGTAAAAAGGATTTATAAAAATTAAATAAAATATGGAAAGTAGTATCTGGCTCGTGTATCAGGGATAAAGAAACAAAGTACATGATTTATATAACACTTATATAATTTATTAATTCCAATTTAGGCATTTGAGGATGTGACTATTTGGATGGTATTGATGACAGTCAAATTGAAAAAACAAAAAAAAATTAAAAGTAAGGTTGTCTAAGAGGATATGATTAAATTGAAAATTAAAAGTTTTCTCAATCTAACTCTAAACACTATAGCTCATAACAATTACTACCGACCATCCCAACCAATCCACACATATTTAGCACACCAATCAAAAGTTGATTTGGAATAAGGTAAAACAAATAATTCAAAATAATTTATCTATATTACGTATAAATGTCAGCATCTGTAAATTTTTTTTTGATTTTCTCTTTTATCCCTAATTATTATAATAAAATCAATTATACCCACTCATATATTTTTATTTAATTTAAGTTTTTTTTATACATATTTGACTTTTAACTTGTTTTAGACTCTTATATAAAGACTTTTAAATTCTTTTAAACTCATTTATTAGTAGTACAACTACTTATAATTATCTATATCTATATGAAGAAGTACAATCTTATATATGTTA